ATTGAGCCCAGAGCCCATACTGGGCTATAAAACACGGAGCCCGGCCAAATAGTAGATCTACATATTGAGCCTTAAGCCTATTCTGGACTGTGTAGACAATCGGCCCAATCCGTTTTTATGGCCCAATCCGTTTTTATGGCCCAATTAGTATTATCTTCATATTGAGCCCAGAGCCCATACTGGGCTATAAAACACGGAGCCCGTCTAGCTCAGTTGGTAGAGCGCAAGGCTCTTAACCTTGTGGTCGTGGGTTCGAACCCCACGGTGGGCGTGATTATAACGCAATCTTCTTTTTATGAAAATTTTGAAGTGCGGGCCGAAGAAAATCGGCCCAATCCGTTTTGATGGCCCAAATAGTAGATCTACATATTGGGCCCTAAGCCTATTCTGGACTGTGTAGACAATCGGCCCAATCCGTTTTTATGGCCCAATTAGTATTATCTTCATATTGAGCCCAGAGCCCATACTGGGATATAAAACACGGAGCCCGTCTAGCTCAGTTGGTAGAGCGCAAGGCTCTTAACCTTGTTGTCGTGGGTTCGAACCCCACGGTGGGCGTGATTATAACGCAATCTTCTTTTTATGAAAATTTTGAAGTGCGGGCCGAAGAAAATCGGCCCAATCCGTTTTATAACGCAATCTTCTTTTTATGAAAATTTTGAAGTGCGGGCCGAAGAAAATCGGCCCAATCCGTTTTTATGGCCCAATTAGTATTATTTTCATATTGAGCCCAGAGCCCATACTGGGCTATAAAACACGGAGCCCGTCTAGCTCAGTTGGTAGAGCGCAAGGCTCTTAACCTTGTGGTCGTGGGTTCGAAAACACGGAGCCCGTCTAGCTCAGTTGGTAGAGCGCAAGGCTCTTAACCTTGTGGTCGTGGGTTCGTACCCCACGGTGGGCGTGATTATAACGCAATCTTCTTTTTATGAAAATTTTGAAGTGCGGGCCGAAGAAAATCGGCCCAATCCGTTTTGATGGCCCAAATAGTAGATCTACATATTGGGCCCTCAGCCTATTCTGGACTGGGTAGACAATCGGCCCAATCCGTTTTATGGCCCAATTAGTATTATCTTCATATTGAGCCCAGAGCCCATACTGGGCTATAAAACACGGAGCCCGTCTAGCTCAGTTGGTAAAGCGCAAGGCTCTTAACCTTGTGGTCGTGGGTTCGAACCCCACGGTGGGCGTGATTATAACGCAATCTTCTTTTTATGAAAATTTTGAAGTGCGGGCCGAAGAAAATCGGCCCAATCCGTTTTGATGGCCCAAATAGTAGATCTACATATTGGGCCCTAAGCCTACTCTGGACTGTGTGGCCCAATCTGTTTTTATGGCCCAATTAGTATTATCTTCATATTGAGCCCAGAGCCCATACTGGGCTATAAAAAACAGAGCCCGTCTAGCTCAGTTGGTAGAGCGCAAGGCTCTTAACCTTGTGGTCGTGGGTTCGAACCCCATGGTGGGCGTGATTATAACGTAACCTTCTTTTTATGAAATTTTGAAGTGCGAGCCGAAGAAAATCGGCCCAATCCGTTTTGATGGCCCAAATAGTAGATCTACATATTGGGCCCTAAGCCTATTCTGGACTGTGTAGACAATCGGCCCAATCCGTTTTTATGGCCCAATTAGTATTATCTTCATATTGAGCCCAGAGCCCATACTGGGCTATAAAACACGGAGCCTGTCTATCTCAGTTGGTAGAGCGCAAGTCTCTTAACCTTGTGGTCGTGGGTTCGAACCCCACGGTGGGCGTGATTATAACGCAATCTTCTTTTTATGAAAATTTTGAAGTGCGGGCCGAAGAAAATCGGCCCAATCCGTTTTGATGGCCCAAATAGTAGATCTACATATTGGGCCCTAAGCCTATTCTGGACTGTGTAGACAATCGGCCCAATCCGTTTTTATGGCCCAATTAGTATTATCTTCATATTGAGCCCAGAGCCCAGAGCCCAGAGCCCATACTGGGCTATAAAACACGGAGCCCGTCTAGCTCAGTGGTTGAGCGCAAGGCTCTTAACCTTGTGGTCGTGGGTTCGAACCCCACTGTGGGCGTGATTATAACGCAATCTTCTTTTTATGAAAATTTTGAAGTGCGGGCCGAAGAAAATCGGCCCAATCCGTTTTGATGGCCCAAATAGTAGATCTACATATTGGGCCCTAAGCCTATTCTGGACTGTGTAGACAATAGGCCCAATCTGTTTTTATGGCCCAATTAGTATTATATTCATATTGAGCCCAGAGCCCATACTGGGCTATAAAACACGGAGCCCGTCTAGCTCAGTTGGTAGAGCGCAAGGCTCTTAACCTTGTGGTCGTGGGTTCGAACCCCACTGTGGGCGTGATTATAACGCAATCTTCTTTTTATGAAAATTTTGAAGTGCGGGCCGAAGAAAATCGGCCCAATCCGTTTTGATGGCCCAAATAGTAGATCTACATATTGGGCCCTAAGCCTATTCTGGACTGTGTAGACAATCGGCCCAATCCGTTTTTATGGCCCAATTAGTATTATCTTCATATTGAGCCCAGAGCCCATACTGGGCTATAAAACACGGAGCCCGTCTAGCTCAGTTGGTAGAGCGCAAGGCTCTTAACCTTGTGGTCGTGGGTTCGAACCCCACGGTGGGCGTGATTATAACGCAATCTTCTTTTTATGAAAATTTTGAAGTTGGGGCCGAAGAAAATCGGCCCAATCCGTTTTGATGGCCCAAATAGTAGATCTACATATTGGGCCCTAAGCCTATTCTGGACTGTGTAGACAATCGGCCCAATCCGTTTTTATGGCCCAATTAGTATTATCTTCATATTGAGCCCAGAGCCCATACTGGGCTATAAAACACGGAGCCCGTCTAGCTCAGTTGGTAGAGCGCAAGGCTCTTAACCTTGTGGTCGTGGGTTCGAACCCCACGGTGGGCGTGATTATAACGCAATCTTCTTTTTATGAAAATTTTGAAGTGCGGGCCGAAGAAAATCGGCCCAATCCGTTTTGATGGCCCAAATAGTAGATCTACATATTGGGCCCTAAGCCTATTCTGGACTGTGTAGACAATCGGCCCAATCCGTTTTTATGGCCCAATTAGTATTATCTTCATATTGAGCCCAGAGCCCATACTGGGCTATAAAACACGGAGCCTGTCTATCTCAGTTGGTAGAGCGCAAGTCTCTTAACCTTGTGGTCGTGGGTTCGAACCCCACGGTGGGCGTGATTATAACGCAATCTTCTTTTTATGAAAATTTTGAAGTGCGGGCCGAAGAAAATCGGCCCAATCCGTTTTGATGGCCCAAATAGTAGATCTACATATTGGGCCCTAAGCCTATTCTGGACTGTGTAGACAATCGGCCCAATCCGTTTTTATGGCCCAATTAGTATTATCTTCATATTGAGCCCTGAGCCCAGAGCCCAGAGCCCAGAGCCCAGAGCCCATACTGGGCTATAAAACACGGAGCCCGTCTAGCTCAGTGGTTGAGCGCAAGGCTCTTAACCTTGTGGTCGTGGGTTCGAACCCCACTGTGGGCGTGATTATAACGCAATCTTCTTTTTATGAAAATTTTGAAGTGCGGGCCGAAGAAAATCGGCCCAATCCGTTTTGATGGCCCAAATAGTAGATCTACATATTGGGCCCTGAGCCTATTCTGGACTGTGTAGACAATCGACCCAATCCGTTTTTATGGCCCAATTAGTATTATCTTCATATTGAGCCCAGAGCCCAGAGCCCATACTGGGCTATAAAACATGGAGCCCGTCTAGCTCAGTTGGTAGAGCGCAAGGCTCTTAACCTTGTGGTCGTGGGTTCGTACCCCATGGTGGGCGTGATTATAACGCAATCTTCTTTTCTTCTTTTTATTACAATTCTCTTTCTTCTTTTTATTAAAATTTTTAAGTGCAGCCGAAGAAAATCGGCCCAATCCGTTTTGATGGCCCAAATAGTAGATCTACTACATATTGGGCCCTAAGCCTAATCTGAACTGTGTAACAATCGGGCCAATTTGTTTTTATGGCCCAATTCGTTTTTATGGCCCAATTATTATATCTTCATATTCAGGCTTCGCCAATACAGGGCTATGAAACTTCGAGCCTGTCTAGCTTAATTGGTTGAGCGCAAGGCTCTTAACATCCAGCCCTTCTAGCTAATGGAATGAGTACCAAACTCCATATTATGTTACGGGATAATTGTCATGCCGAGTATCACAATCCCACTTTTCGATAGCAAGACTGTGACTATTTGACATTTGTTCTAATCCAATGAATTCGTGAAAATTTTATATTTTGCAAACAACGTCGGGTATACTCGAGTCTCAAATCATGTTCGAGAGAAATGTTTTAGAAAACGTAAATGAAGAAATACGTTAAAAACAATTTGAAAGAAAACAATGTTACAATCTAAAAGCGAGTAGACAACAACAACTCTCTAATGACATATAAGGCAAAGAAGTGACAATTAGTCCTATCCCCAAAAGTGGACATTTTAACCCTGTTAAGTGTAAACATAATTGTAGTGAACGGTCATATTGACACATCATGAAATAGTAAAAGTCCATCTAAGATGAAAGCATGTACAAGGAGTTCGGAACACGTCTACAATAAGCATGATCGAGACATTCGACATGCGATTATAAACAATATATCTTAGACATGTGTAACCGCAACACCAGCATCTCTTTACCATTTCTCAATTTAAAATAATGGTGTCTCCTTACCTCCTTCAAATAATCAATCAAACCCAAAAAGGGAAAAACTTGAACAAGTTGAAGCAGACAAATCAATACGACAAATCATGATTCATTGAAAATTCTTCATATTTTAGCGAAATCAGGAAACCCCATAGTGATAAAAGAAAATGGCAGCAAAAGAAGGTTAACCATACACATGAAAGAGGCTTCAGTAGCCTTCTTGATCATGATGACTCGTGTCATAAAGCTGACTGAAAATGGGCCCTCTCTCTCGACATGATTAATGCCATGGCCGTTCGGGGAATCACAAAAAGCTAAGTCTTCTTTTTTTCCCCCTTTCTTTAATTTCTTAGACCACAAAGTCGGAGGTGGCGGTGTTGGTGCAGATTTTGACCTGCCGTTTTAATTGTACCAGACCTCACATGCATCAAGTGTTCGATGAAATGCCACACAGAAAAAAGTTATGGGAAATGAGAAAATTTGTTGGGTTTTTCGAATTTCATTAATGGGTTCTGTCTGAATTATGAAATGGATGGTATGCTTTTGGTGTTTGATTGAATCAATTTTGGGTTTGACACTTCATGGTGTGAAAAAACAATGAAGTTCTGGGACTGCAGATTCCATTCTTTGCATCTTCTGGGATTGGAATCACATTGTGTTGACATCCAATGCAATCTATAGCTAATTCGAGATCTTTAAGCAATTACCACAGGAAGAAGAACAGAATTTGGAGATAAAAATAAGTAGAAAGGGGAAAAGGGGAGAGAATTTCTGGTCTGTAGATGCAAAATCATCATAATTTATCTGTTATTACACACAGAATTCCATGTAGTTGAAGAGTGGAAGCTCTTCAATTTCACCTTTCACGAAACAAACTGTGCACACAATCACAACAAAGACAGATTTAGGCACAGAGACTATGTATAAGTAGTCCGATTAGTGTTATTCACTCTACAGGACAAATGTTCATCTTGGAGAAAGAAAAGGAAGGTTTGAACAAATAAACCAATTACCATTACCAATCAATCTTCTGTGCTTGGTGATATGAGAATAGAGGAAAATGAATAGCAATATAATTAGAAGCCTAATAAGCCATTGCAACAGGAGGCGCAGCAAAGCTGATGGTTCTCTGATGAGGCATAGCCAACATAGCAGTATGATCCAATAAATCTTTGAGAGCAACAACGGATTCCAAAATGGTTCTCAAATCATCAGCACAAGAAAACCCAAAACACCCTTCTCTTCGAACTGCATAAACATAAAAAGTTATGCACCCTTTTCTAAATTTGAACCGAGCCATCTCGCACCCACATAGCCCTCTGATCATCTTCTTGTTCACTTCGCCAAGAGGGATTTCTGTTGGCCAAACACGGTCTATAGCTGCTTTCATGGCCTCATTTTCAAACACAAAGAGAACAACTTTGGACTTCTTGGTGCCAAGGCCTAGAGTGAGGGTGTGCCAGGCATGGTGAGCGAGGATTGTGAAGTTTGTGGGAATGAAAGCTGTGGCCGATGGGAACGGCGGTTTGTTGCCGGAGTTTCTGGTGGTGGCCGGAAAAGAGAGGAGGCGGAGGAGCTCTAAAGGCCTAGCTCGCCGGATTGTGAAGGATTTAACGATGAACTGACCGCCGAATCTGAGGCCCTTTACATCAGAGCTTGGCTTGAAATTGAAATCAGAAGCTGATTTTGTGGATTGGTCACTTGGGTGTTGGTGTTTTTGCTTCTTGATCTTGTTCTTCTTGCTCTTGTTCTTGTTCATCTCTGTTTCGTCCATGTCTTCTTCTTCTTCTTCTTCTTTCTTCTCTGTTCAGGCGGTGATGGGTTTTGTTGCCTCTCTTTTGCTTTTCATGGTACGATCAACTGTGCGCTATGTTTCCTTTATTTGGCCTCCTACGTTTCAAGAGTTCACTGTTTTAAAAAAAAAAATCATTACATTCTCCTCAAGTTAAGCCAAAATTCTCTCATTTCACTAATCCCTTTGATTAATTTCTTAAAAAATACACTTAATTCTAGTATAATAGAATGGTATGGAGTTCTAAAAATCATTATTTTAAGATGGGATGATCAAAAGATTAATTTTTGAAAGTGGTTGAGTTTGGGGATTATAATATAAGGTGTTGAGTAACTATCTTTATTCTTATTTGGCCACTTAGCTTCATGATGATGAAGAGTTCTATTCCATCCTTAACCAATGAATTGTTAACTCACAAACATCACAACTCATAAAGCTGGAAAGAAAGAAAGTTTGGATAAAGTCGCTATCAATATCTCTGGGTTTGGTTGAAATTCTAAGTTTAAATTATTTGTATAAATCTTCCACCTTAAGATCTTTTTTATTAAAATGAGATGGTGCTTTTAAACTCCTTAAATGTCATCTACATACCAGACCATCTTTTTTCTTACTAGACTCTGACATCTTTGAACGAACATTTTTTTAAATTTGTGGACTAAATTTGTAATTTAAATTTTTTTATTATTTTTTAAAAAATAAACTTGAATTTAAGAAAAAAAAATGTAGAAGATTCTAGTTATTTAGGTTCCCATGAACTTCTAAATATGGTTAGAAGGAGCCCAATTACAGAGGAGGAGGACCACAAAACTTTGAACCTAAAAAGGAAAATTACTCAACTTTCATAATTACACCCATTTCATCAGCTTCTTAACCTTGGAACCCTAAAAACCTTCATTACCATTGGAGTATTAGGAGGTGGTCAACGAGCATGTTAATTTACTCATACTTTTTAAGTGATTTCTATGATCCAAATAAATCATAAAAATAAATAATACGCGTTAAAAATGAAAAACCTTAGACGGAGGAAGATTGTATCGAACTGGAGAGAGATAAGGGAAGGTTACCAAATGAACAAACCTACTAGTCCTTTCAATAAAGGTAGTCTCCTTCTAAACCCACCGTTGCCTTTATTCATATCATGCCAAAAGAAAAACCTAATAAATTAACCCTTGCAAGGAGGAACACATTAAACTTTGTTCACCCATTCATCCCATTCCCATTACGTAATCTTAATTTTGATCCTTGAGTATAAGCAATAGCTTTAGAACACTTCTTCGACTCTATGAGATTTCATGTCGGTTTGAGAGCGAAATAAAACATTTCTTACAAGGGTGTGGGAACTTTTCTCACACATTTTAAAATTGTGAGGCTAAAGAAGACAAGTTTGGACTGTTACAGACTCTCACGTTACTCTTTTAGCCATCACCAAACAAGTAAAGAGAATAAGGGCGATTTTTTAAAGGTATGCAATAGACAGATTACCTAACAATGATTATCAATCACCAAAACCAAACCAAAAGGGTGTTTGTTGAACAATGATAATGGCGGAGAAGGTGAGGTTGGTTTTTGAATTTTGAATAATCAAGACTTTTTTTGAACAGTGTTTTAGTTTGTCTACAATTTTATGGTTTCCAACATTTAATGTCTTTAATGAGATGTTTGCTCTTATGCTCCTCGTATGTTGGAAATTTGTTTTAATTATTTTATTATATATTTTCTTTTTACTTTATGAAATTTCACATCTAATTAAAGGCTATAGATAATGATTTATATTTATAAAGTTTGAGTTGTTGGCTTACAACTTTTTCAAAATTTACATTTTTTAAAACGTAAAAACTAAGTCTCCAAATTTTTTGTTTTTTCTCCACAAGAGTGGGGTTTTAAATTATTAATAAAAAAAACAAAAGTAATAAAATAATTTCAAAATATCCATAAAAAGTTTAAAAAATTTCAAAGTTCTTTTTAAAAAAAAAAAAAAAATACTCTTACCATTAATATATAACCTCGGTAAATAAATGATTTTCCTCCATCTATTAATAATAACAAAAATTTTGTACAAGAATATTTTTAACTTTATAAATTATTAAATTTGAAAGAGTATTTTTTTTTTAATTCTTTTTAAAGTTTATGAAATTTTTATTAATTTAGCCCTAATTTGAAAATTTTAAATTACTCTGAAAAAAATTCTCTACTTACCTCCAAAATCAAATATTTTATTCAGTAAATAAAAATTTTTTTTTTTACTGATATCATGATAAAAATTGGAATTAAAAATGGAATCACACAATAATTCTGGGTATTTATTTATTCAAATGAAATAATAAAAAAAGATAATAATAAATGTCAATAATTAAGAACATAAATTCCCCACTTGAGAGAGCATAATGGATAAATAAAAAATAATAAATTAGAATACAAACATATGAGATAAAAATGAAGAGTTCCCAACGCCCACAAAAACATCAGGCACCGAGAGAAAATTGAAAAGGGAAATAAAAATTTCTTTCTAATTCTATTGTATAAATATAAATATATATATATATATATATACTTATATAGGTATAGATATATATATATATATATATATATATATATTAGAAAAAACAACCAAACAATGCAGTGGTTCCTCCATGGTTGGTTGTTTGTAAATTGAATTCCCATCCATCACAACTTATGTAGTACCTCCCTCTGTCTGTTGCTGGTGTATCAAATCAAATCCAAAACTTCTCCCTCTCATTTCTACAACATCTCAAATGCCTCTCAACAACGAGTGTCGTCGCCTTTCGGTCTTTATTTTCCTAATGTTATCGCCGTTCATCGGCCTTAGAAACCGATCCATTTCGATTTCTGATTGGAGTACTGATTGAAGTCTCTTCAAATGTCCCATGCACTGCTTGTGGCTTAACATCAACTGCTGCTGCTGCTGCTGCTGTTCTTCTGGATGATGAACCATTCTCTGGCATGGTGACTGCCATTTCGCTTGCAAGTATGCAAGAGATCTCCATGGAGGGAGTGGCATCGAGTTTAGCTTAAGCGATGACTTCCCAGCTTCAACCATGATTTGAAGGAACTGCTTAAGTCTCGATAACGAACCAACGTAGATTACAGGAAGCGAATCCAATATCCTATCGTACGATTCAACTGCCCTTGCGATTTCAAAGTGGCTTCGGAAGTCGATATCGACTATCAGTCGCTCTGAGCTTCCAGTGGTGTAGTTAACGACATCGATGTACTCGTAATCTCCTGTAGATGGTAAAAGCAAAAGCCCTTATGCGCAAATAAAGAAAAGGTGCCAGAATTATACCCTCAAGCACTACCAAAAAAGCAGAAAATTCTGTAGCGCTAAAAGTAAATGAACAAGGTTGGGAGGGGATGGATGGATACCTCCAGGAACCTTGCCAGCGCCCTGCCATCTGGTTGTGCACACAGCAGCATCATAACCAGAGAGTCTCAATAGCTTGACTAAAGCAAACCGGATGCAACTGGCATTGCAGGGACCCGACTTGTTAACGTTCAGGGCCTTCTCGTTCATCGACAAGGTCAGTGAATGAACCACCGAAAGTAAATCGCTTTCGTATTGGGATACTGGATTCTTATAGAACTGGCAAAAACAGACAACAAATTGATTAATATCTCTTGTCTTCCGCTTGATTTGACCATAACAACAATGCAGGACAGTGCTATATGAACATTAGACATCGTACAATAGCAATCTTGTCTCAAAAAACATGTTCTTCATAGACATGAACAAATAAATCATCTCTTGGCACTAACAGACAGCCGGCAAAAAGATCAAACTCCAGCCAAAACAAGCTTCCAATGAATTTAACAACAGAGCCAACACCCAACTAGACACCTCCAAAATGGTTTTAATTTCACTTGAAACTTGAAGGCTTGCCTTCACAATTGTTCATGTTTCATAACAAGTATATGAACATAATTCTCATTTCCTTCTAAGCAAACAAAGCGCAACCATTCAAAATTTGCATCCATGGAGATTAAATTAATCAAACAGGCATATGAATCAACAAGTCAGAAACATAGGATTACACTGCTGGAAAGATAAATCATACAATTACATCCATAAACAAATTGGAAGAGGGAAATTACCAGAATCTTGTCGGCAAGATGAGCAAGATCAGAGACACCAGAATCGCTATCGCTGCTACACCGAGACTCAGCCCCACCGCTGCCATTTTCCAAGAAATCGCTGACCATAAGAGCCAAATCATGCTCGCTTTCATGGCTAAAACCACCCATCTGACCCCTACCCCCGATTCCGCTTAGCTTGACCCATAAATCCCCACCCGCAACGCATACCCGGCAGTCCATTTAAACGCCCAAAAGACCTTCGGTTTCGGCTCTATACCTCTCCACCTGCCTCCCGCAGCCGTCCGATTACAACAAATTCCCAACCCCATGAGCGAAAATCATCGTCTTCGACGAGGGACCGACGCAAATTTGGGCGTTTTTCAAAATTTGCAGAATTGAATTGTGGGAATTGGAATTAAGGAGAAATAAATTGAAATAGGGTCGTAATGGGTGAAAAAGGAGAGAGGGGGAGAGGAAAAAAGATGAACCCTCTTATTAATTTCTGTGCAAAACCCAGAAGGATGAAGAGAATAATGGACGGAAGGAACAAAGAAAGGGGGAGAAGGTGCATATAAAGGCGCGTACAACCAGGGATAACACGAAAATATTCTATGATATTCTTGAAGACCAAGTAAATCTCTTCGATTACGCGGAAATATCGCAAAGTGGATAAGAAGAGAATTAATTTCCTACTTAATTTGCTTAATGTAGTAAATTAAGCAAATTCTACTAATTAATTTTAGTTTTTTTTTTTCTTTTCTTTTCTTCTTTAAATGGAGTGTGAAACTGAATTAGATTTTGTTTTCTTACGGATATAAAAATCAGTGGTCTGTGGTAGTTTACGTTTAAATCTTCCTTTTTTTTTTTTTTAAATTCTTGAATTTCAGTTAAACAAAATAGGAACATTAAAAAATTAGACCAGTTAGATTTTCTTTTTGTTTTTGTCATTTTTTCGTTAAAAAAAATGTTAATTTATAGACAAATTATGCGACAAGACAAAAGAGACTAAAATTAATGTCAAACATGTTTTAAAAAATTACACCAAATCCTAATTTTTCAA